CTCCCCATTAGGGTTACAAGCCTTTTAAATAGAGAAAACAAATCCTAATTAGAATAGGAAATTAACACCCTAAGTCCTAAACCTAATAACCACGAATTGGGCTTCAAATAAGCGAATGTTCAGCCTAAAAATAATACAAAAAACGTGAAAATCACTAAAAATAACCTAAAATAACACAAAATATCAGTTTGCTACAAATTGCGGTAGAATTGTGCGATTTTGACGCAAACTGTGTAATTCCGTGCAAATTACCTTAACTAAGCTTTTCTTGAACCTAAATGATGTTTACCATGCCTTGATAGTCATCCAAGCTTCGATTTGCTTGTTGTATGTTGTTTTCAACCCAAATTTGCTCAATAAGGCCATTTAAAGCTTCACGCATCTTTTTAGCTCTAGCTCGCGTGACTGGACCTCCTTGGTTGTGTAATGGATCACATGACGTAGTAGATATGCTGTTGTCTTGATTCCCATCATCTTGGAACCCAAGATGATGAAGATGGTGAAGATGATGAAGATGATGGCAAAGAGGATAAGCACAAGGATGGTGAAGATGATGAGGATGAGGATGAGGATAAGGAAGAGGAGAAAGAAGAAGATGAAGAACTTAAGATTAATTATGTTTAAATTCATTAATTAAGAAGTTAAATTTTTAATTTGTACATGTGGCACAAAATATTTATATGAAATGTTTACATGAATTTATAATTTTATCCACATAATTTTCACATCATTTATAATATTATTTATATAAAAAGTAATCAAGGATTCTGCTAATTAACATGACAAGTCAGCAAAAATTTAATGGAGGGACCAAAAGTGGGTCAAAATTTTGACTTTAGAGACCAAAAAGGGGCCTTTTTTAGTACAGGGACGAAAAAGGAGCTTTTTCCAATAGTAGAGGGAGCAAAAAGGGTATTTAACCAAAAATATAAAATTTAGAATCAAGTGACAGGAGGAAATGAAAAGGACAATGGGAATGGTATGGAGGGATAGATGTCGAGGAGGAACGAGAAGATGGTTGTTATTATAGTATATAAACACTAGAAAGAAAAGGAAAGATAGAAGTGTTCTAAGGTGTGATCAAAATCAATATTTTTAGGACATCAAAATGTTCTCAGAATATAACAAAATTTAGAGCTAAACTCTTTTCAGAGAAATTGTGAAAAGGTGGACCTTACTCATTAAGTTTAGTCTAAGCTTTGCATATTTATATTGACCGAAAGGATGCATAACCAAGAGTTTTGTCATTTGACCGAGGTTTATGAACTTATAATATACATGACATTTCACAATGAATACTTATGTTTATTCATTCAAATTAAATAAATATGTCTCTATTCGATTAATAGTCATACTCCAATTAATAGTCATGTCCCATGAAAAACTTTGACTTCAAAATTGAATTCATTTCCATACTTAAGACATAATTTGTCTAACGATGTCAAGCCTATATAATGCCAACATTTTAAACTACCTTGGATATTTGGTTATAATTACTTTGGTACCTTTTCAAACAAAATATTCAACAATACCACACTAGTTTGACGTGTTGGCTTCTTCATTTCTTTTCATGCGTCAAATATTATGCATAAGGAAGGTATCTTTCGATTCAAATCATCTATAGTGTATGCATTTTGATATATAACGAAATTTTTGGTGTTGGATGATTAAACCATAACGAAATTTCTTATGCTAGACTCTAAAAATACAATGCACATAATACTCATTTAGCTTCTTGAAGAGGTTTAAAACCATTTCAGCACTATTATAGCTATGTCCTCATCTTGCATATCATGATCATTTACAAGAAAACCCTCTCTAGCTTCTTGTTGGAGCAACACTACTTTTATGATCATTTAGGTGGAGTTTCTTTTGTGTCCCTATTGCTAGAGACACCTTAAAATATAAACTCCATTAAGAGTTTTAACTCATCCTTCTCATTTGTACAACAATGAGCATTTGACTCTATTTAAATTAGGAATGAGGTTTCAAGTGCCAAACATGCATATGCAATAACTTGTTATTACGTATTGAGCTTTAAGTTTTGAGTTTACTAGACTAAAGTTGGGTTTCCATTACCGATGCCAAATATGAGAGTTATTAATTCCTCATTTCATCTTCTTTTACTATGGTAATCTCAACTTTTAATTGTTTGCAAAGTTCTCCTTGTTATCTTAATATTTTTTCTTGAGACTGATTTGAAATATAAACATATCAAAGACTTGCTTGTCTATACTTTCAATTATAGATGCTTTTGTATACCAGCTCCAAACATTACAAGTCTCATCTCGCAATGCAAGGAAATGACTAACTTTGGTTATGGCCACAACACTGTTAATAATAATTTTCTTAGCCGTTTATATCCGTACCTACATATATTGATTTTGATTTACTTTTGACTGCAAGTTTTCCTTCTAATTTTATTTAATACATTCCTCCACTTCTAATTGTGGAATACCCAACAGCTTGTGGATTTGTCTTGTGCACTTTCTAGTTTAGAATGCATTAGTATTGCATCTAGTAATGCTTCTTAAGGTTTCATTGCACAAAATTAAGTATATGTATATATATACATATGTGTACATTGTGGAATCTTAGGTACCCTTTATAATTTATACAGATAATACGGATTGCTATATATAGACATTATCATCTCCTTGCAATTTGGGCTGGAAGACAACTTATGCACAAATTGGTCTTTTGAGAGAGAAATTGTGGCATAGAAAGTGCCTTAGTCAAAACATTTGCTCGTTGGAAAGAAGATGGTACAAGCTAGAGGAAGATAAGCCCAAAAGCAACTTTCTTTTGCACAAAATGGATATTAATCTCAATATGCTTAGTTCGCTAATGTTGAATAGGATTGATTAATAGATAAATAGCATTGATATTGTCACAATAAAATATTGAGACATTAGGCAGAAAAGTATGAAGCTCAATTAATAACTAACGAACCTAAAGAACTTCAGCAGTTGCATTAGCAATAACTCTATACTCAACCTCTACACTAGATCAAGCAATAGTATGTTATTTCTTATAAGACTAAGAAATAGGAGAATTGCCAAGAAATAAACAATAGCCAAAAATAGACTTATGAGTATCAACATAGCTTGCCTAATTTGCATCTTTAAACATATACAAAGAAAGAAAGGAATTATGATATAATTGCAATCTGTATTCCATGGTACCTTTTAAGTATCATACTATTCGTTTCACAACCTGAATATGTATAGTAGTATGTGCATGCATAAATTGACAAAACTTGACTAACTATAAAGGCAATATCAAGCCTAGTAAAAGTGAGATATTGAAGCACCCTAACAATACTATGATACAAAGATGAGTTAAAACATAAACCATTATCATTAGCAACCAACTTCATTTTCGGATTGATGGGAGTAGCCATGGGCTTACAATCTGTCATGCCACTTTTATCAAGTAGATCAACAACATATTTAGATTGGGAAAGAAATAATCCATCATTAAATCAAGCACTGATATCAAGAAAATAATTCAAGGAGCCTAAATCAGTCATCTGAAACTCAGATTTCAACAATGAAATAATTTGATGTAAAAGACATGTAGAGGATGCAGTAAGAATGATATCATCCACATAAAGAAGAAGATAAACCATTAAACTAGGCGTATGAAACACAAATAATGTCTAATTAGATTTGGCCTAAACAAATCCCTACAAGAGAAGAAAAGACATAAACAAATGAAACCATGCTTGTGAAGCTTGGTTCAAGCCATTTGCAACTTACAAACATAATCTAGATGTTTAAAATCCACCAATCCGGCTTAGACATAGAAATTGTTTTCGAGAGAGTACCATTAAGAAGAGCATCCTTGACATCCAGTTGATGAATGAACCAAGAACGCATTATTGCAAGAGTAAGTACAGTACAAATAGTAACATGTTTGACAACCAAATTGAATGTATCATCATAATAAATTCTCAGTCATTGTCTGTACCTTGAGTTACAAGCTATGCCTTCAATTGTTCAACACTACCATTCGCCTTTTTCTTAACCTGGTAAACCCATTTAGAATAAACAATATTAGCAGTAAAAAGACACGATACCAATGTCCATGTATTATTGTGAAGAAGAGTAGAGAATTCTTTGGCTATAGCATTACACCATCCCGGATCCTAATTAGTTTCCTTAAAATTTCTCGATTCTGTGAAAGAGCAAGAAGTAACAACCATAGAAGGCAAAACACAAACCTTACGAGTACCATCTTATGATCTAGTTATCATGGAGTGGGTCCTTGCTGATAGGCATGCAGACGAAATCAAAGGAGAAACAACAACAGAAGCGGTAGGAACAACAGCAAAAGCAGAAGAAGCAACAGCAGAAGCGGTAGTAGTATCAAAAGGAGATCTTATGCCATTAAAAGTGTCTAATTATTAAAGTTGTGCAGGAGGTTCTGTGGAAGATAGTTCAAATGGACATAACGACACGCTTGGTGGACTAGACAGGCTAAGCAAGGCTGGATGCTACGTAGTGACTTGGCTAGGTGGGAGCATAGGCCATGCGTTTGGTGGGCTAGATGGCAAGTGGGGTCTTGTAGTAGATGGGCTAAATGGGTTGTTGAGCCAAGCATTAATTGTGGGGTTAGATGGAAGGATTAAAATCCAAAAGATGAAAAGGTGCACAAAAATGAGGTGGTTCAATAGAAAAATAGTTGGGAAAAGTTGAAGATTTGTATAGAAAGGAACTCTTATAAAAAACAACATGCTAGGATAATCTGGTTTTATTAGTTTTGAGATCAAGGCAACGATATCCTTTGTGATGTGTAGGGTAACCAAGAAAAAGGCATAAGGAAGATCAGAGAGTTGGTTTGTGTTAAGTGGTAGCAGAAAGGTTGGGATAACAAGCACATCCAAAAGTTTGCAAATAACTATAATGTGGTAAAGTACCAAACAACACTTCATGTGGTGTAGAAAAATGTAACCTGGTTGTTGGTAAAATATTTAATAGATGGACAACCATATAAAGAGCTTCCACCCAAAATTTACTAGGTAAATTTGCTTGAAAAAGTAAAGATCGAACCATGTTCATAATTGTTCGATTCATTCTCTTGGCTTTCCCATTTTGCTGGGGAGTCAAGGGATATGATGACCGAAGAGTAATTCCACTAGATTGAAAATATTGAGCAAAATCTAAATTAACATATTCATGACCATTATCACATTGGAAA